ATAATTCAACCCCTAATATAGCAAGAGAAACCGATTATTAGATTATAGTGATTAGCTGGAAGAAGCTACGACTCCGTGATCTGATCTGTAATTCAAGACCCTAGGCCTAGAAGATATCTTCAGTGGGGCAAACACCAGCACGCCGAGTTTGTGTTGAGGAAGATGAATATCCTCACCCTTGTACCATACTTGGACAGAGAGACAAAACTGTGATTCCAACACCAACTTTGTTCAGTACGTGTCATCATACAGACCATCACAGTTGAAGTCCCTTGATTTGTATACCCTGGAACGTATGTCAGAAAGATACATAATATAAACTTGGAAAATCCTACAGGGATTAGTACCAAATCTGCGCACGAAACCTTCTCCAGGTAAACTCCAGGTAATCTCTTCACCATACTATCATTAACCTCGCTGCCATGCAACAAAAGAATTCAACAAGTGTCACAACAAAACTGTTTCGCTATACTCTTCCTCTGCTCAGCTTTCATGCAACACCGCCATGACTCCCCAGAAACACAGTACCTCAACATTACCATTAACAGTTAACTGCGCTTCCGCCACCATGAAATTACTGTCACAGGTTAGGTTACGTAAGGTTCTCCTGGAAATGAGGCCATTATTTCCTGACGCGGGTCTTAGTTATATGATGACCCGCAGCTGGAGCTTTTGATCATCTGACAGAGGCCTTCCGCTGGCTTACCAGTCCACCCCTTTAGAAATTATGATTCTAATTATACTATTTTTACGGTCACAATACCATTAGTTACCATACCACCACTAATACACCGCCTTTAATTACAACACCTTACCACTACACCACCACTGACTTTGACCACATCATCACAACACCACCACAACACCACACGGCAACACCACATGGCAACACCACATGGCAACACCACACGGCAACACCACACGGCAACACCACACGGCAACACCACACGGCAACACCACACGGCAACACCACACGGCAACACCACACGGCAACACCACACGGCAACACCACACGGCAACACCACACGGCAACACCACACGGCAACACAAAAGTCAACTACATTTATTTCTGGTCACTGCGATCCAAGAAGTTACATATCCTGAAATATAGAAGCTTATTAAGCCTGAAGCTCTTCATTAGTTGCGTTATCATGGCAGCCTCGAAGCTACTCAGGTGCGACACTAAGAAATTATCGCAAGAAAATCAATGTTTCATTTTTTTCATATTTCATCCAAAAAAAAAGCTAATCGGGACCTACACAGGTGAAATTAAGTGCAAACTTTTCTCCAGGTAGGACTGTCCAGCTTTTAAGAAAGTTTTATGTAGGCCTAGTGTACACAAGACACAAATCCGGTATAATGGTCTTCGGGGCACACTGATGTTATTTACGCATAAAAGAACTTTAAGTTGATTTAACTTAAGATAAATAAAGTTAAGCACTGTCTTATTTCTCATCAGAAGAGACATTTTCCAATTATTTCATAGAAACCAAGTTGATTAATAAAATTAGTATGCAACTTACACACCCAAACACCAAAACATTGTTTTCCTTGAGAAAAACACATCAACAATAAAAGTTGGAAGTTGACCAGAAGTTGAATTTTCCTGTTATTGCACAAAATCCAACAAAATTTACAGCCTAAATTCATGAAATGTTCCATCCATTTTTACGAGGCTTCAGTCCGCCTACTGAAGCTTGCAGGACCCGATGTCAAGGTCATGGTAGATTATTTCACGTCATATTACTCTGCTTTAACAAAGAATAATGAAAGACTACAGATCACCCAGAAGAAATTTATCCTGGGCCTAAGAGAGCATGTTGGCCAGGATGAATTACAACACCTGGATATACTGAATGTTAAAGACAAAGTAAAGAAAGTGAAGTTAAATCGTGTTTATGAAAAATTTCTCACAAGCAATATTCGAAATGTCTTGCTGCCAAGTTTGTCAAGGTTAGGAACCCAAACCGGTATGTTACTAGGGAAGGTGAACTTTGTAGTACCTATAGTAGGTGGTCAGGCTTCCAACACCTTTTTATTACGCAACAGTAAAGGAGTGGAACGGTTTAACTGAATGTCAAAATTAGGAACCCAAACCGGTATGTTACTAGGGAAGGTGAACTTTGTAGTACCTATAGTAGGTGGTCAGGCTTCCAACACCTTTTCATTACGCAACAGTAAAGGAGTGGAACGGTTTAACTGAATATGTCAAAACCAGTCCCAGCATGAGCCAGTTTAGGAAGAGAGCTAAAAGGTTCCTGATGAATGAAGCTACAGAGAGGAAGGAGAGTGATGTCCAGTGTAGTTAAATTGGTGTACCATGAAAGGAAAAGATTCCCCCTTTGTAAAGGAAACAGAAACAAAAAGTTCCCAATTATATCGGGTGGAGTCTCTTGTCCTGCCCCGATGAGCGGGACACAACCTCCCTCACCTGTGTTCAACAACCGGCTTTCCACCAGAATCAGTAACTGAATAGCCGCAGAGCGAAAGAATGGAGCCCATGCAAGGTGCTTCTCCTGTAACATGTTCAGTAAGTAGAATAAGATGAGGACAAGCGACCCAAAGAGAACGAGGGAAATTTGTCACTGATACTTAGGTGAGAACAAGACATCTACACAGGACGAGGCTGTCGCAGAAGATGTAGTAGGTTCGCCGGTCTTGGCCCGGCCCGGGTCTTTTCCAGATGTTGACCCGGCGAAGTCTAGCTGTTAAACCATACCATGAGTTGGGATAGAACCCGCGGTCAGTCATATAACTCCAGACCGACGCGTTAGCCACTGGGCCGCTGGTTACAATAAGATTCCAGCCCCGCCTGTGGTATGGTTTGTTTGCAATTGTGTCATTACGGTTTCGTGAGTCAGTCTAGCTGTTTCAGTCTACTACATTTTTCACAGATGTGGCTACACCTTGACACCACCAAGTGACACTCCAGTACATAACCGTCAACGCTTACGACCATCTCGCCAACCTGGAGGAGGTTACCTGGAGGGTAACCTAACATCTCGAAATGATCCGCATGCTAATGACTTTCTTTTAGGATTAACGATATTTTATTACATGTAAACAAAATTTTGCATATTGCAGAAAAGAAATAAAGATGTATATTATATATATTATATATATATATATATATATATATATATATATATATATATATATATATATATATATAATATATATATATATATACCAGAATCGCACCCATAGTGAAGATAAGGAAACGGGGTGCATAAAAGGCAATTGTTAAGAACACAACGACGAATCACAAGATCAGATTGATCAGGTCCTGATCCACCATGATGCCTGGTCACAGACCGGGCAGCGGGGGGCATTGACCCCCCGAAACTCTCTCTCCAGGTATATGGTGAGCATGAGGTAACACTGATAGAACTCGTGAGGATTTAATGAAATGATCAACGAGGAATTAGACGAGAGGAAATACGACACAACATGATGTAGAAGAGAACTGAACATTAAAAGTACAATATTAAATGATCTAATTTTCACAGCCCTCATGACTTCGCTAGTCCTGACGTCATGACTTCGCTAGTCCTGACGTCATGACTTCGCTAGTCCTGACGTCATGACTTCGCTAGTCCTGACGTCATGACTTCGCTAGTCCTGACGTCATGACTTCGCTAGTCCGACGTCATGACTTCGCTAGTCCTGACGTCATGACTTCGCTAGTCCTGACGTCATGACTTCGCTAGTCCTGAGTCATGACTTCGCTAGTCCTGACGTCATGACTTCGCTAGTCCTGACGTCATGACTTCGCTAGTCCTGACGTCATGACTTCGCTAGTCCTGACGTCATGACTTCGCTAGTCCTGACGTCATGACTTCGCTAGTCCTGACGTCATGACTTCGCTAGTCCTGACGTCATGACTTCGCTAGTCCTGACGTCATGACTTCGCTAGTCCTGACGTCATGACTTCGCCAGTCCTGGCATCATGACTTCGCCAGTCCTGACGTCATGACTTCGCTAGTCCTGACGTCATGACTTCGCCAGTCCTGGCATCATGACTTCGCCAGTCCTGGCATCATGACTTCGCTAGTCCTGACGTCATGACTTCGCTAGTCCTGACGTCATGACTTCGCTAGTCCTGACGTCATGACTTCGCTAGTCCTGACGTCATGACTTCGCTAGTCCTGACGTCATGACTTCGCTAGTCCTGACGTCATGACTTCGCCAGTCCTGACGTCATGACTTCGCCAGTCCTGGCATCATGACTTCGCCAGTCCTGGCATCATGACTTCGCTAGTCCTGACGTCATGACTTCGCTAGTCCTGACGTCATGACTTCGCTAGTCCTGACGTCATGACTTCGCTAGTCCTGACGTCATGACTTCGCTAGTCCTGGCATCATGACTTCGCCAGTCCTGACGTCATGACTTCGCCAGTCCTGACTTCATGACTTTGCCCGTCCTGACGTCATGACCCCGCCAGTCCTGACGTCATGACTTCGCTAGTCCTGACGTCATGACTTCGCCAGTCCTGACGTCTTTATACAACTGGCCACCGAGATCAGATGCACAGTTTTCTGACATTAAAAAAATATATTTGGCAACATTATAATAAGTTGGGCAAATATTTTTGTTAGTGGGTTTGGGTTTGAGAAAGACCTACCTAGTATGGGCCAGTAGGCCTTCTGCAGTGTTCCACCTTCCTTGGTTGCTTCATTTAATCCTCTCGTGTGATGTTTATGTCCTACTGTTAGTGTAGTTACTTAACTATAGTGCCTCGTGTCCTGGTGGACCCTCGCTCCACACCACGAGGGTCCAGGTTCGATTCCCGGCGAGGGTAGAAACATTGGGCGTGTTTCATTACACTGTTGTCTATGTTCCCCATCAGTAAAATGGGTAAATAAAGATATTAGTATTATTTTTAATTTCATTCCATATTGTGAATCCAGTCAGGAACATTGGGTACTTAATGCAGTTCCATAATTTTACACATAAAGGCAGATGAATACATTCTAAGTGACAATAACATGTGTTTCAGGAGTCTTGGTGGCTGGTGTTTGTGATGGTTAGTGTCGGGGCAGTGATGACTGAACAAGCTGGTACAGCGGGTGATTATGGAGGCATGAGAGTGCTGGTGCTGCACCCGATAGCCGCTGGGTCTCATGTACTCACTCTGAGGGCCCTGTGCCAGGCACTCGTCGCTAAGGGACACCAGGTTAGTAATCCATCACTAGTGTTAATGTACATAATGATTATCAAGATGGAAACTTCCCCACATCCTTCTATGTCGCACCAACAGAGCCCACTCAGGTTACCACCATTATTAACTTACTAAACAACAAGTACCACCACTACTGTACAATCAATATTTGCACCAATAACTCATTACAGTTGTGACCGGGTGTGGAAGTGTGAATTGCTCATTACTCTATAATTTGTTCATGATTGTAGCCAAAGTATAAACGTAAGTAACCATTCTACAGAATTCATTACCTTTGTAACTTGTGAGCTCATTACCTTTGTACCTAGTTCAGCTATCAAAACTTTGGGGGCCCAGTCCCTGGACCCATTACGTACCTCTGTAATCTGTAAATACCTTTGTAACTTGTCATGATTGTGACCAGACTTACCTGGAGTTCATTACCTTTTGTAAATTGTGAGTTCATTACCTTTGTAAATTGTGAGTTCATTACCTCTGTAACTTGCTCAGCTATCAAAACTTTGGAGTCCAGTCCCTGGACCCATTATGTACCTCTGTAATCTTTTGACTACCGCCCACAGGATGGGTATGGGGTGCATAATAAACATATTAAACTAAAAAACTAACTACTGTACAAACGACCGACTTGGATCCTTTCACCAACCATTACATTACTCTTTAACAAATCACTAGAAACCAACACTTACCCGGCATCACTTAAAATAGCAAGAATTACACCAATACACAAAAGTGGTGACCCAACAGATGTAAACAACTTAAGGCCAATATCAAACTTGCCTTTACTTTCCGATATCTTCGAGAAGCTCATACTAAACATTATGCTAAACAAATAACGAAAAAAGTATCTAAAACACTTGTTATCCTCTCAAAGATACGTTACTATGTACCACAAACACCACTACTTACACTATATTATTCAGTGATCTACCACTACCTTAACTATGATATTTGTACCTGGGGAGGGGTGTCACTAGCACGTTAAGAGACCATACAATAAGTGTCAGGGGCCCGAGACTGTTCAACTGCCTCCCAGCATACATAAGGGGGATTACCAACAGACCCCTGGCAGTCTTCAAGCTGGCACTGGACAAGCACCTAAAGTCGGTTCCTGATCAGCCGGGCTGTGGCTCGTACGTTGGTTTGCGTGCAGCCAGCAGTAACAGCCTGGTTGATAAGGCTCTGATCCACCAGGAGGCCTGGTCACAGACCGGGCCGCGGGGGCATTGACCCCCGGAACTCTCTCCAGGTAAACTCCACGTAAACAACAAATCATCTAATACCAATAATAACCCAGCAAAAACCTGCAGTGCGAATGACCACCCAATCAACTGCCAGACAACCTCCCCCCCTCTCACTCTTCGAAGACCTATCCCACCTACTCACTATACAAAACATTCACTCGTACTACTGTGCAACCTACATTTACAGAATAATCAACTCTATTACAAAACTCGACCTGAAGCGCTCTCTTGACAGTTGCAATATGAGCCATAGACACAATACTAGGCACAAAAATCTTTATGACATTCCCCATGTCAGGCTAAATCTCTTCAAAAATTCAATGTACATAAAAGGAACCAAAATCTGGAACTCTCTGCCAGGAATCTCCAGAACCACTGACTCAGTTAACATTCTTAAAACTACAGTTGGAAACACCTTATCTCCTTAACCTATCCCAGCCCATCATAAATACATATATAGAAACTATACATGCATTTGCTCAATATCATCAACGTGGGTCAAACATTATAATCAATAAACTTACTCTCAATATCTGTAATCCTCTCAAACGTTAATCAGTCCATTGTGTCAGCTTTAGGTTAATAATCAAAACTGTAATTCCTCTATTATTATTATTATTATTATTATTATTATTATTATTATTATTATTATCAAAAAATTTAACTTATTAAAGCCATATAGCATAAATTAATAAAATATTCAATAATCTTGTATTCATTACAAACTCCTAAATTTAAAATTACACTCGCCTAAGTGACCATATGTACAAAATTACTCCTACTGTTATTCTCTAATTAATCTTAAGTTAGTCTTAAGTTTGCCTGAAATACTCTGTATATAAAGTGAGTTTCTTCCTGAACACCCAAGTGTCATATTCCTTTGTACAAACATACTAAAAAATCTTCATATTTTTATTGTGGGTCTTCAATCTGGTCCCCCAGGATGCCACCCACACCAGTCGACTAACACCCAGGTACCTACTTGCTAGGTGAACAGGAACTGCAGGTGTAAGGAAACATACCCAATGTTTCCACTGGGCTGGGGATTGAACCCCGGGCACTCAGTATGTGCGGCGAGAGCGTTGTCAACCAGGCCACGGTACATAACTCTCGTTGAATGTATTTTAGACTCGTCCAACTGAAGATATATCCTTGTACGTGAATGGAAAAAAAACAAAAAGAATATTAATGAGTAAAGTGAAATCCACTGTTATTGATTTTTATTATTAATTAACTTACAAGAAAACTCGTCCAAATGTGGAGAATCAGGTGACACTTGTGATTCAGGAAACACAGATGATGATGTGCGGTACACCTGCACTCACTTGTCTGATGTCATCAGTAATGCAGTACACCTGCACTCACTTGTCTGATGTCATCAGTAATGCAGTACACCTGCACTCACTTGCCTGATGTCATCAATAATGCAGTACACCTGCACTCACTTGTCTGATGTCATCAATAATGCAGTACACCTGCACTCGTCTGATGTCATCAGTAATGCAGTACACCTGCACTCACTTGTCTGATGTCATCAGTAATGCAGTACACCTGCACTCACTTGTCTGATGTCATCAGTAATGCAGTACACCTGCACTCACTTGTCTGATGTCATCAGTAATGCAGTACACCTGCACTCACTTGCCTGATGTCATCAGTAATGCAGTACACCTGCACTCACTTGTCTGATGTCATCAGTAATGCAGTACACCTGCACTCACTTGTCTGATGTCATCAGTAATGCAGTACACCTGCACTCACTTGTCTGATGTCATCAGTAATGCAGTACACCTGCACTCACTTGTCTGATGTCATCAGTAATGCAGTACACCTGCACTCACTTGTCTGATGTCATCAGTAATGCAGTACACCTGCACTCACTTGTCTGATGTCATCAGTAATGCAGTACACCTGCACTCACTTGTCTGATGTCATCAGTAATGCAGTACACCTGCACTCACTTGTCTGATGTCATCAGTAATGCAGTACACCTGCACTCACTTGTCTGATGTCATCAGTAATGCAGTACACCTGCACTCACTTGTCTGATGTCATCAGTAATGCAGTACACCTGCACTCACTTGTCTGATGTCATCAGTAATGCAGTACACCTGCACTCACTTGTCTGATGTCATCAATAATGCAGTACACCTACACTCACTTGTGTAGATGTCATCAATAATGCAGTACACCTGCACTCACTTGTCTGATGTCATCAATAATGCAGTACACCTACACTCACTTGTGTAGATGTCATCAATAATGCAGTACACCTGCACTCACTTGTCTGATGTCATCAGTAATGCAGTACACCTGCACTCACTTGTGTAGATGTCATCAATAATGCAGTACACCTGCACTCACTTGTCTGATGTCATCAGTAATGCAGTACACCTGCACTCACTTGTCTGATGTCATCAATAATGCAGTACACCTACACTCACTTGTCTGATGTCATCAGTAATGCAGTACACCTGCACTCACTTGTCTGATGTCATCAGTAATGCAGTACACCTGCACTCACTTGTGTAGATGTCATCAATAATGCAGTACACCTGCACTCACTTGTCTGATGTCATCAGTAATGCAGTACACCTGCACTCACTTGTGTAGATGTCATCAATAATGCAGTACACCTGCACTCACTTGTCTGATGTCATCAGTAATGCAGTACACCTGCACTCACTTGTGTAGATGTCATCAATAATGCAGTACACCTGCACTCACTTGTCTGATGTCATCAATAATGCAGTACACCTACACTCACTTGTCTGATGTCATCAGTAATGCAGTACACCTGCACTCACTTGTCTGATGTCATCAATAATGCAGTACACCTGCACTCACTTGTCTGATGTCATCAGTAATGCAGTACACCTGCACTCACTTGTCTGATGTCATCAATAATGCAGTACACCTGCACTCACTTGTGTAGATGTCATTAATAATGCAGTACACCTACACTCACTTGTGTAGATGTCATCAATAATGCAGTACACCTACACTCACTTGTGTAGATGTCATCAATAATGTGGCACACCTGCACTCACTTGTGTAGATGTCATCAATAATGCAGTACACCTGCACTCACTTGTCTGATGTCATCAATAATGCAGTACACCTACACTCACTTGTGTAGATGTCATCAATAATGCAGTACACCTACACTCACTTGTGTAGATGTCATCAATAATGCAGTACACCTACACTCACTTGTGTAGATGTCATCAGTAATGCAGTACACCTGCACTCACTTGTCTAGACATTATCAATAATGTGGCACACCTGCACTCACGTGCCTTGCTCTTGATTACACAGGTGACAGTGGTAAGGTGGCAGGAAGCTAGACAGTTACCAGTAGTGGACCATCCCAGCATCACAGAGATCGTCCTCACCATTAATAACACGGATGGTTCTGTACCTTACATGACGCTTGAGGAGACTGCCAGGTAACCATCTTCTCTCACATCTTTTAATTAATATATTTTTTATTAATAATGATTATTATTTCTTCTTCTTCTTCTTCTTTTTTTATTATTATTATTATTATTATTATTAGTAGTAGTAGTAGTAGTAGTAGTGGTAGTAGTAGCAATGGTCGTAGTAGTGGTAGTATTTTTTAGCAATAATATTATTAGTTTTATTTTTATTATACTAATTATTATTAATTTTATTATTATTATTATTATTATTATTATTATTATTATTATTATTATTATTATTATTATTATTATTCAGTGAGAAGAGCTACACCTTCAGCAGTGATACAGTTTCTGGGGAATTTGATGTAATTCTGGTTTTTTTCCAGACAATGAAAGAGCATCACACGGGGAGATTTCTTAAAATTATCTATAATCTGCATTAGTTACTCGCTTTTGCTAATGAGTTATTGCAGGTGTTAAATCCCACATAACTCACAGTTAGTTTAGTTTAACATCTTTATTAAGCATCACATACCCATCCTGTGGTCGGTAGTCACTAGATTACAGAGGTACATAATGGGTCCAGGGTCTGAACCGCAAGTTTTGATATATGACATTTCCTGAACATTTCTGAGCGAGTTTTCTCTGAATTCATTAATTTTATCGCACTCCGGTACATAATGACGCAGGGTGTGACAATAGTCCATCTGGCAAAGTTTACATTTCGTTTGGTCTACATCTGGTGGTGGTGATTTAACCTGCCAAAGATACTTGTAACCCAGCCGGAGCCGGGCAGTAGTGACATCCAAGAGTCTGCTTATCTTGTTGGATGCACCATAGACATGTGGCTCCTCCTGCATGATAGAATGATGATAGATGGACTGACTTGTGTCAGTCTCCCTAAGTCTAAAGTCAATAAAGTTCAGTTGAAGTTCTTTTCGTAGTATTGATCTCAAACTGCTAACTGACAACCCAAGATTGTAATCTACTCCCTCTTTGAAAGTAAATAACTTAGCCAATTCATCAGCTCACGCTAATGTTCTGCCTGTGGTTGTGATGTTGCAGCTTCGTGATGCCTCAGGAAATCATGTGGAGTCATGGGACATCGTGGAAGGTAATACCGTTGGACGCCTTCATCACAGTGTCTGCATACTGTAAGGCACTGCTGGGGGATCTGCCCCTGCGCCATCACCTGCGACTGCAGCGCTTCCACGTGGCCGTCGTCGACATTATTTACAACGAATGTGGTCTGGCCCTGGCTCATGATCTAGGTGCGTTGTGGATCTGGTGCTTTGTAAAGTGTCACTCTTTTAGCTTCTTGCAGGTGTCACTGTACACCGTGTATGACAAGCCCATATTGGAGTATGCAGCACCAATATGGAATCCACGCCTGGTCAAGCTCGTCATAAAACTAGGGAAAGTGCAAAGGTTTGCAACAAGACTAGTCCCGGAGCTTATGTCCTACGAGGAGAGGTTAAGGTAAATCAACCTGACGACACTGAAAGGCAGGAGAGATAGGGACGACATGTTAACGACATTGGATTGGGACAGGATGTTTCAGAAATGGAACACAGCAACAAGGACACAGCTGGAAGTTGAAATCTCAGATGAGTCACAGGGATGTTAGGAAGTATTTCTACAGCCATAGAGTTGTTAGGAAGTGGATTAATAATCTGAACAGTGATGTAGTTGAAGCAGGATCCATACATAACCTTGAGAAGAAATACGATAAAGCTCATGGAGCAGGGAGAGAGTGAACCTAGTGGCGACTAGTGAAGAGGCGGGGCCAAGAGCTATGACTCGACCCCTGCAACCACAATCAGATGAGTACACACACTTGGAAGATTTCACACAACCATCACTTGTATGTCTTGTTTACTTCAACTTAACCATCTGTGACCCTACTGCCTCATCCTACACCAGCTGCGTCTTGCTACACATATCACAGCCATATACTCATCACAGCCATATACTCATCACAGCCATATACTTTACAAACTGAAGATAACTCACTGTGAGTGATAGTCAATGAATATATATATATATATATATATATATATATATATATATATATATTATATATATATATATATATATATATATATATCCTTTGATTAATATTTATGCCTATTTTAAATTAATTTAAATGTCCTAATTTTATAAATGATGCTCAAATTCGTGTATGATGGTCAGATTTTGCCCTTTCGGCTACAAAGTCGTGTTGCCACTATGCATAGTCATGTAACAGATTTTGACGTGAATGTGAGTAGAAGAGGTTTGCGAGGCACAGAGAAGTGACGGAGTATTCCTGTCAGGATTGTAACCTTCCTTCACTTCACACAGTTTTACTCGCTTAAGGGATTCCCAGCTTAGGTTTCTGAATTTTCTCTGCAACGAGGATTTTTTTCTTATACAAGTCAGCAAATTTAAAATAAATTTTGATATGCTAGACGGCGAGGCGTTCAAGCTGTACCGAGCAACATGCAAAGTGTAGCTGGAATGTGACGGTGTGTTGGGTCAGCCTGTTCTGCAGGTCGAGCCTGTGATATTTGTTGTGCAGGTCGAGCATGTCATATTTGTTGTGCAGGTCGAGCATGTTATATTTGTTGTGTAGGTCGAGCATGTCACATTTGTTGTGCAGGTCGAGCCTGTCATATTTGTTGTGCAGGTCGAGCATGTCACATTTGTTGTGCAGGTCGAGCATGTCATATTTGTTGTGCAGGTCGAGCATGTCATATTTGTTGTGCAGGTCGAGCATGTCATATTTGTTGTGTAGGTCGAGCATGTCATATTTGTTGTGCTGGTCGAGCATGTCATATTTGTTGTGCAGGTCGAGCATGTCATATTTGTTGTGCAGGTCGAGCATGTCATATTTGTTGTGTAGGTCGAGCATGTCATATTTGTTGTGCAGGTCGAGCATGTCACATTTGTTGTGCAGGTCGAGCATGTCATATTTGTTGTGCAGGTCGAGCCTGTGATATTTGTTGTGCACGTCATCTTCGTCGAGTTGACCTTCAGTCATCTCTCAACTCAAAGTTGTTACAGAAATTTTAATATTTGTTATTCTGGGTGAGATTAAGTTAGTAGCAAGTTTACTCAGGTATACACAAATACAGTTACATAGATTATCATACATAGCAGCATATGTATAGAGACACTGAGTTAACCCAAAAAAGTCAGTGACTTATTTCTACTGGGGTCCTTTTGTTACCTTATCGAAATATTACATTAATATAAATGTGGCTAATAAGCAATTATATAAAAATGATACATACAATAAATTATATAAAATATTGACTAGATCACATCGACACCATGCCTAACCCTTCTAGGGTAGGGTAGGTGCCTGAGCCCGAGCCTTTAGCTCACAAGACTGTCATTCCCATTTGTCCCCTTGGGGCGGGGATGGCAGACCAGAGAGGCCTAGCTTGTGGCTAGGCCTGGGGACAGTTTGTCCCAAAGATGAGGAGGTACTTGTGCCTCCTCCCATGGGAGACTTAGGTCTCAGACACTCCCTAAAGAGGGAGCCAAGGCCGGGCCACCACTTGGTAAAGGCCCGGGCCGGGAGAATACCGGCTAATCTTTAATAATAATAATAATAATTGACTAGATGATAAAGATAGAATAAGTTGACCACAAGAATTATGACAGTATATAAAAAATATGAAGACTAGTAAATTACAATAGATTTCAGTCTGAAAATTAATTATCAATCTGTTGGAAGACAACGAAAAATAGAAGAAATGAATATATGTTAAAAATTAATAATCGCCTCTAAGGAATGGATTTATTGGTCAAATAACAGATGTTGATAGTGACTTGCCTCTCCTTGGTGGGGCAGCCAGATACACATTGTAAACAGCAGTAGATTGTGCCAGGATCCGTTGTTTACCTGGAGCTTACCTGGAGGGTATTCCGGGGATCAACGCCCCCGCGGCCCGGTCCATGACTAGGCCTCCCGATGGATCAGGGGCTGATCAACTAGGCTGTTACTGCTGGCCGCACGCAGTCCGACGTACGAGCCACAGCCCGGCTGATCCGGCACTGACTTTAGGTATCTGTCCAGCTCTCTCTTGAAGGCAGCCAGGGGTTTATTGGCAATTCCCCTAATGCTTGATGGGAGGCTGTTAAACAGTCTTGGGCCCCGGACACTTATGGTGTTTACCCTTAGTGTACCAATGGCGCCCCTACTTTTTATTGGGGGCATTTTGCATCGCCTGCCCAGTCTTTTACTTTCGTAGGGAGTGATTTCTGTGTGCAGATTTGGGACCATTCCTTCCAAGATGTTCCAAGTGTAGATTATGATATATCTCTCCCTCCTGCGTTCCAACGAGTACAAGTCAAGTGCTTCCAAGCGTTCCCAGTAGTTAAGGTGCTTGACAGAGCTTATACGTGCAGTAAAGGATCTCTGTACACTCTCTAGATCTGCGATTTCACCTGCTTTGAATGGAGATGTTAATGTACAGCAGTATTCCAGCCTAGAGAGAACAAGTGATTTGAAAAGGATCATCATTGGCTTGACATCTCTCGTTTTGAACGTTCTCATTATTCATCCTATCATTTTCTTTGCACTTGTGATCGTGGCACTGTTGTGATCCTTGAAAGTGAGATCCTCAGACATTACTACTCCCAGGTCCCTTGCATTATTTTTTCCGCTCTATTGTATGGCCAGAGTCTGCAGTATACTCTTCTAGTTATTATCTCCTCCAGTTTTCCATAACGGAGTAGTTGGAATTTGTCCTCATTGAACATCATATTGTTTACCGTTGCCCACTGGAAAACTTTGTTTATATCTTCTTGGAGGTTAACCGCGTCCTCAGCAGATGACAGCCTCATGCAGATCCTAGTATCATCCGCAAAGGATGATACGGTGCTGTGATGTATATCTCTGTCTATGTCTGATATGAGGATGAGGAATAAATTGCGGGCGAGTACTGTGCCTTGTGGAACAGTGCTCTTCACTATGGCAGCCTCCGATTTAACTCTGTTGACCACTACTCTTTGTGTTCGATTTGTTAGGAAGTTGAAGATCCATCTCCCCACTTTCCCAGTTATTCCTTTAGCACGTATTTTATGGGCTATTACGCCATGATCGCATTTGTCAAATGCTTTTGCAAAGTCTGTGTATATTACATCTGCATTCTGATTTTCTTCCAGTGCATCCAAGGCCATATAATAGTGATCCAGTAGTTGTGAGAGGCAGGAGCGACCTGCCCTGCACCCATGTTGCACTGGATTGTGCAGATTTTGGGAATCCAGGTGATTTGCAATCCTGCTTCTTAGCACTCTTTCAAAGATTTTTATGATGGACGTCAGAACTATTGGTCTATAGTTCTTAGCTAATGCTTTGCTGCCACCTTTATGGAGTGGGGCTGTATCCGTCGTTTTAAGTGGCTGTGGAATTTCACCCATGTCCAACCTCCTCCTCCATAGTGTACTTAGGGTACGCGAGAGAGGTTTCTTGCAGTTTTAATGAAAACAGAGTTCCACGAGTCTGGGCCTGGGGCTAAGTGCATGGGCATGTTGTCAATGGCTTTTTCGAAATCTATCGGAGTTAGGGTAATGTCGGAAATCTGGCATACATTTATGGAGTTTTGAGGCTCATTCATGAAGAAATCATTTGGGTCGTCGATCCTCAGACCGATTAGTGGTTCACTAAACACAGTCGTACTGGGATTTCAATATTTCACTCATTTCCTTGTTGTCATCTGTGTAAGTCCCATCCTATCTGAGTAAGTCCCATCCTGTCTGAGTAAGGGCCTGATACTAGATGTGGTATTTGCCTTGTTTTTGGCATATGGAAAGAAATATTTTGAATTTCTTTCAATTTCACTAATAGCTTTAAGCTCCTCCTGGTTCCTGTAAGAGTCATTTAACTTAAGTTCGATAGTTTCCACTTCCCTGGTCAGCGCCTCCTTTCGTGTATCAGATATTCTAGCACTCCTGAGGAGCTCAGTGACTCTTCGTCGTCTTCTGTAGAGGGAGCATCTTTCTCTCTCCAGTTTACTCCTGCTCTTCTTCTTTCTTAGGGGAATATGCCTAGAACATGCTTCAGCTGCCAAGAAGTTGATCCTTTCAAGGCAATGGTTTGGATCCATATCATTTAAGACATCTTCCCAACATGTTTCGTTTAGGACATGGTTTACCTGGTCCCAGTTGATGTTCTTGTTGTTGAAGTTGTATTTTGTGAAGACACCTTCACAGGTACATGCATTCTGCTGATCAGGACCCCTATGCATGTACGTCTGGACTTCGATTAGGTTGTGATCAG